TGTGAAGTTGATCTGAATGCAAACTCAGGGATATACAGAGAAACCACAGTGGAAGAGGCCGGAGCATATGAGGCCACTTGATTTTAAATGCCAGATATGAACTTAGGTTTTGAATGCTAAGCCCCAAGGGATGAAAATATTTGCCCACAGTAGACTCAAGAGATTTGATACTCTCTCCATAATAGACACATTAAATATTTTAATGTGCATTTCATTAGTAATCCGATGTGATTCCCTTTTCAAACTCTGCCTGTTTTGGTATGGAAGGCATGTGTGTGTACGTGTGTTTATTTTAGAGACGGAAGATGCCATGCCAGAGTTTAGGGCTACTAAAAATCTTCCCAGCTGTTTTCCTTTTCACATGTTAATTTTGACATTTGGTTAACCCTAGGAGAGGCCACTGACTGTCAAGGTGGACAGTACTGAGCCAGATGGACTAATGCTCTGACGCACTCTTAAGGCTGCTTCCTAGGTTCCTGCACCTGCAAAATGCAGGGGAAATGGCATGAGGACCAAACTTGACGTGGGACACGTAAATAGCAATGAAATTAGTGTTTGATTTTTTTTGGGGGGGGGGAGACGACAAGAATAGGGGTGGGGTGATTATTGTCACCACAGCAGTACATGAAGAGGGAAGGCTTCATTCTTTCCTTCCATCATGCCTCTCCATCAGAAAATATTGTATCTCACACTCCCTACTTTGAACCCTTGAAGGGAAGCTTACACGGTTGCATCTCTTCCAGGATACGTATGTGTGTGGAACAGAAAGGGTTAAACCTTCCCTCCCACCATGCTGCACTCCTAACAAAATTAGGGAACCAAAAAAGGAGAGGAAAGGCATTGAATAGAGAGGAACATAGGAAGGAAGTTGCCTTATACTAAGTCAGACCATTGATCCACCCAGTTCATTACTGTCTATAAGGTAAGGGAAAGGTAAAGGACCCCTGGACGGTTAAGTCCAGTCAAAGGCGGCTATGGGGTTACAGTGTTCACCTCACTTTTCAGGCCGATGGAGCTGGTGTTTGTCCGTAGAGAGCTTTCCAGGTCGTGACGGAAGCCAGAGCGGTACCTATTTATCTACTTGCGCTGGTGTGCTTTCGAACTGCAAAGTTGGCAGGAGCTGGGACAGAGCAGCAGAAGCTCACTCTGTTGCATGGATTCGAACCGACAACCTTCCAATAGGCAAACCCAAGAGGCTCAGTGGTTTAGACCACAGCGCCACTCATGTCTATAGTGACTGTCTGTCTATAGTGACTGTCAATAGCACTCCAGGGTTTCAGACAGCAGTCTGTCCCAGCCCTACCTGAAGATTAATAATAATAATAATAATAATTTTATTATTTTTACCCCTGCCCATCTAGCTGGGACTAAAGCAGATACTCTTCCTCTGAGCTATGGCCTTTTCCCAAAGGAATAAGCCTAAGAGAAAAAGTTCTCATATTTTATTGCTGCTCAAATAAGTACGGACAAGGTAGGCAGATGATTAGAAATGCAGAGCAGGAAGGAATATAGAGCTGAAGCAATCCTTTGCCAGCCTACTGCCAGCTTCTTCCATTTTTAGAATGGCTGGGAAACTGGAACCAAATGAGACAGGATGCAGCTGGGTCTTGTTGGCATGTTTCTCACAAGCCCAGGTGTAAGGCAGTCTTGAGCTGAATTCTGTACATGCTTAGTTGTGGGTAAATCCCACCTGGAAAACGAGTTGAATTTTCCTTGCTGTCGTTTTGCCTTTGGACAATCCATCCCACAATTTCTTTCGAAAGGAAACCAAAACTGAGTAAGAAGGCATTCTACCAGCCCAGTCTGGTGCAGCATGTGGAGGACTGAGGAACTTGCATCTGGAATCTGTGAAAATTCTGTTTGCCCTCATAAATGTTAGGTTTTCATCCACTTCTCAACGTGTGTGGATTTGTGATGAGCCAGGTATTCAGAATTTGGTAGTTAAAAACAGTTTAAACAAATTACAATCACAGGAATAAGGTGGGCCCTAAAAACATCTATCTCGGGTGTCAAAGGCCTGGCGAAAGAGGTGGGTTTTCTCAAGATTTCAGCTCTGTGGCAAACACCAGAGTGTACAAATGCTGCTACAAACTTATGAAGACTTCTTGACTGAAGTTCAAGGACTATGAAGACAGCATGCATTCTACTCAATGCACATTTTCTATGCGGTTAATATATATTTTGCCATGTGACTCATTAATAACGATGTGATGAATACACATTTCTTCAAGTTGAGATTAACCTTGCTTAACTTGACATACACATTTTGAAATACATAAAGGGTTTTAAACATCCTTGTACACTTCTAAATATAGCACGTATTTGTACAGGGAATTCCTTGTAGATACCTATGCAATACCCTTAACACAACATGGAATATTTGCTTGGGCTCACGGTAAAATAAAGAAAACTGAACCATTAGCGGGAAGTTCTAATTGTTTCTGTTTTTCACAAAGGAATAAATCTCACGTGCATATGATACATCCCTTGCATGATCCTCCAGTTACGAAGAGGGTATCTTTCACCATACCTACTGGGAGTGATTCACATTGATGCACAGACATCAACAAGACAGTAGTAGTGATCAAAATATTTTAGAGGCCCCTGTACTCACGATAAATAATTTGTTTAATTTCTTAAGAGAGATTGCCATGTAAAATACAATGTTATAAAGGATAATTCAAATTTTGGATTATGTTGCCACTTTTGCTCTAGGCCAGAGCTTTCCAAACTTTTCATGTTGATGGCACACTTTTTATACTTACATCATTTTGCAACACAGTAATTCAGTTTTACTAGCAAACCAGAGGGTAAACTAACCTCTTTCCAGCCCTGGGAGGACCATGGGGAACATTCATGCAACACACCTACACACTGCAGCCGACACACTATCGTGTCGTGACACACAGTTTGGAAAGCTCTGCTCTAGGCATTAGTGTTTTAATATGCCCCATTTGCTCCCCATGCCTACAATTTTATCTGTAAAATCAGATAACAACAACAGCTGCCGTACAGAGTGCAAGCGGGCACTTAATCAAAGAGAGAACTTTCAGTTTAAGATTGTATATCCACATATCACAACAGACCATTGTGTTTTGCTACCTTTATCAGACATGGCCTAGCATAATTTCTGATTTTGTTAAGAACATTTACATGACTGAAAACAGTCTGGCTATTGCAGTCCATGATAACAGACAAAGGGAAGACTATTCTCCATAATGTTGCATATGGGAGGATAATATGCAAAATTGTTCTCCTTTAATGATAGATTCCACTATAGAAATTCATTGTTTAAGGAAGGGATATAATAAGGGATACTAGAGTAGCATTATTATTATTATTATTATTATTATTATTATTATTATTATTTTGTTAACAGGTATAGTATTGCATTATCAGATAGAATCTATATATACATGAATTATATATCCAATTTAGTGGGGCGGGGGGAGACAATGGCTTTTGGCATTCACATGAATGTTGGAAATCCCAGATGAACCTTTTGAATGTCAGTGCTCACTACAGTATGTCTCTGTTTGTGAGACAAACGCTGGTGAATGCTGAAAGCCTCATTTCAGTTACTGTCAATCATTCATTCATCAACATTCACCATATTTCAGAGACTGAATTTAATTGTGACAGATATAGTTTTTGGTGTTGTCTGTAATAAGGGGAACAATGCAAAGCAAGGAAAATGAACTGGATTGTTACCTCCTTGTGTGGCTTTGGCCAATTCACCTGCAGAAAAGCCAATGGGTATGGGCAGAATGCAGAGTGACAATAGCTCTGTTCCTTCAAATTGTACTGAATGGCCGTGAAATGGAGGTGAGGGGTGGCAATTTTGAGCAGAAATCAGCAGGCAGGAGAAAAGTGCGATTGCTCCCAACCTGGTGTCATTCCCCACATCTACTTTCTTTTTTAGGTGGGATGTAAGACCATAAATAAGCATAGCTAGTATAAAAATGGACCGTGTGGGGGAGTAAGAATTGGAAGGATGAAGACTGCAGGCAAACAAAGTGTTTAGCAGCCCCATTTTGCCCCCAGCCATTTTCTGTTTAAAACTCAGGGGACCCGTGTGGGTGCCCGAACACCCTCTGTAGCTGCATCTGCAGTCGTGGATCTGTGGCTGTCACTCCAGCTGTGAATCCGGATTGATGATGATTGTTCTCTCTTCCATTAGATTGATCAATACTTTTATGGGGGGGGCGGCGGCGGCGGCGATGTATTAGCCAAGTAGAAGTAGAGAAATCGGCTTCTCTGATAACACTGTTTGACAGCCTTCTCAGAGTTATGTCTTTAAAAATGGGGTTTCTTATATATTTTTTGTCTCTCCGTACCAGGCATGATCGGAGCCAGAGTGCAAGGACATAACTTGCCCTGTGAAAACCAGCCAATTACATCCCGAGCCGCTGTGATATGTGGAACGTCTTCATGCCACATGGCGGTAAGTTGGGAGCAGAATCATTATGCCAGTCACATAAATCCAGCTGATGAGAAGCTGCCCTTTAAACACCTCTTTTAATTTATTTGCCCTTGTGTATCCTGTATATTATGAAGTACTTTGAGAGACTTCTTATAGATCACCATACATCTGCTACTGAGAAACATCTTTAATAGTAGTAGAAATCAATACTAAGGGAAAGGCACAAAATGTAAAAGCAAAGTCAGAAATTATTCTACTGCGATTTCAACTGGACAGTGTGAAATTGGAGCCGGAGACTCTCGCTTAGAGTAACCCATGATGAGCATGTCACTAATGTATAACTGAGTACTCAGTGTCTTTAGAAAATCCCCTTTAGCCTTCATCTCTCTCACCTCCTCTCTCAATCAATATAAATCCATCTTGTGCTGAGCACTCTAATGATCTATAGAATTATGAGTTGCATTGCGGCTCCAAAAGAGCCCAGATAAGCAATTTTTGCTTCAATATTTTTTCTCACTGAATTAGTGGAAAAGCTTTTTCCTGGGATTGCAATTAAAGTTTACTGTCTCTCTTTCTCTCTCTTCAGGCATGCATATATATATATATATATATATATATATATATATATATATATGCATGCCTGAAAGCATTCTGTTTTCTTGTCTGTCTTATCCAGTGATCTTATTCAGTCATTTTTGTTTCATTTAAAACTTGTTAACTTGCTTAAATGTAGACTGAATCATTAGATAGGATTTCACTAAATTATATGCAGCAAAATAAATAATATGTGCGTTATTCACAAATGACAGTGTACACATTTTTGGATTTGTGTGTGTTTGTGTTTATACAGACACAAACAAACGTATGAATTTAGGGGCGGGAAATTATAAACTGTGGTGTTAGAGGCAAAGGAAGTAAAGTATAGATTCAGGATGACACTTCATGCAGCTGGTATACTTCCTCCGACACTGGAGCCATCATGTTAATATTCGTTACTCTCCATGCTTGTTTCCAGTCCCCTTATAAAGCCATCCAAGTTGGCTGCCATTACTATGTCTAATGGCTAATTCCATAGTTTATCTGAGCTCTGTCTGAAGAAGTTCCAGGGTTCCTTCGTTCCTTGGCTGGCAGATCCCAAGCACAGGCAGGGGTAGCCAATAGAATGTAGAAGCAGACTGGCAGCAGAATGGAGAGACAGGCAGGATGAAAATTAAATGGACAGATCCCAGGAAGGGATAGCAGGAGCTAATACAGCTGATAGAATTTTCAAGGACCAGGGGATGGTTGTCTAAAGCAGTAAATTTTCTGATCACCAGATCCCAGAGAATTGTCTCTTGAGGGAGAACTGTCACCAGAAGCATATCCAGGAGTTGACAAAACTGCTTCCTGCCCCCACCAAGGGCACAGGCCTGGGGGGGGGACCCCAAAAAACCCACCCCAGAAATCTGTCTCCAGTTATCTGTGTAAGTTCATGAGAAATGGCAAGGCGACCGCTTCTGGAGTGTATAATGTATATGTGTGTGCTAAAGTGCCGCCGCTGTCGCAGCAGGATCAAATGCAGGAGAAGCTTCTTGTCCCTCTTGCAAAAAAAGTGTACATTTTTTCCACCCTTCCTCCTCACCTGGCCCTCACTCCAGATACTTCATGTACTTGGGTTGTGTAAAATGTAGTAGTTTCTAATGTGGCTATTGTGGTAAAGTGTTTTGGTGTCCCCTCCAGGGGCTGCACCGATACTGCTCCTTGCCAAGGGCACAAGGGACCACAGGTATACCTCTGATGGCCACCTATTTGTAATTCATGTTGTAAAGCCCTGACTGGCTACAAATGCAGATCACGTGGACAGAAATGGGGAGGAAAAGGCATCAACCAATCCTCCAATTTTTCAAAACGGATAAGAGATGCGGCAGAAAGGAGAGTCTTGTGCATGGGTAGGCAAACTAAGGCCTGGGGGCTGGATCCGGCCCAATCGTCTTCTAAATCTGGCCCGTGGATGGTCCAGGAATCAGCGTGTTTATACATGAGTAGAATGTGTCCTTTTATTTAAAATGCATCTCTGGGTTATTTGTGGGGCATAGGAATTCGTTCATTAAAAAAAAAATAGAATAGTCTGGCCCCCTACAAGATCAGAGGGACAGTGGACCAGCCCCCTGCTGAAAAGGTTTGCTGACCCCTGTCTTGTGCCCTTACATACATCTTGTGCCATACATCCCTTTTTCCTCTCTCTCTCCCATCTATGATAAGGGTTACAAGTTTGTTGTGAGGATTACAAAATAAGTGAGGTACTTGGTACACCCTATAGAATGCCTCGTTTGTTTGTGCAGCGAGACTCAGTAACAGGGCAATATGATCAAGGCCAAAGTGGCACATTTGGGACAAATAATCGTGATAATGTAAATTGTGCTAATGTTAGAATCCCACTTAAAAGTTGGTATTTTCTATCAATAGATAGCTGATGCTACATTCCTATGCACAGTTAATTAGCAGTAAGCCCTCTGAGCATACGTGCAAGAAAGCAAACATAGGAATGCGCTGCAAAATCTGTTTCAGTTTCAAAATACCAGAACTACTATTCCCCCCCTCCGCCTTTTCACCATATTGCATTGTCAAAGGCAATATGATTTCCCATCAGTGAACAACTAACAAATCCAAAGCTGCTGTGGAATGAATATATGAAAACTCTTTGGTTGAAGCAGTCTTTTATCTGTACCTGTTTATATACTGCGCCGACGACATAGGGCAGTTGTGTGTGCCTTTTTAATGATATGTATTTGCAGCTGCAGTTGGTTGAAATTAACTGTACCTTTTTTTAATTAGAGCCATAAAATCTAGGTTTATTATCCTCTATGTTTTTGTTAGAAATCTCTCTCTCCATATATATATATATATATATATATATATATATATATATATATTTCTCCTTCTCTTTGTACCAAGGGACCCCAAGGGCAATAGAGATGAATCATCAGGTTTAATTTAATGCAGTGGGAGAGAGACCTGTGTGGTCAGGCTGGCATAAAAAAGTGCCTTTGATCTGCTTCAGGTGCACTGAGCCCCAGCGAGCCAGCAACAATAATATCTTTGTGAGATGATCAGAGTGGAGAGCGAAACAGAGAGACCAAGGGGAGGGGGGAATGGCCTGTATGGAAACTCAAGGCTTTCCTTTGTTGTGGTTCTGGCAAACGAAAAAGTCAACTGTCAGGAGAAATTCAGCGAACATAAAGCAGGGTGAAAGTGCAATGGTCGAGTAGTGGGTTTCTTTCAAAGGATCTTAACAACAAAGCACTCAAAATAATTTGCTGGGTTACTTTATTTTCTGGGGGAGTGGGGGCGGGAGAGGGGGTTGTGGAAGAGGAGGGGTTGCAATGAGTGGCTCAACGTGCCGTGAATCAGACGAGTAGGCCTTCGGTATGGGCTTGTAAAATTATGAAAGATGCCCCATTACATCCCCTGCTTTAAAAAAAAAAGTCTAAGAAATTAAAGGAAATACTTTTATTGGTCATGCCTCTGGTATTTTGAGTGGTATAGAAGTCAATCTGTAATGAACCATTAGGCTCTTCTGTTGGGAATGTGGAGGAGATCACTTAGAGTACGAAATGACAACTGGGGTGGTGGCAGTAGGAGTTTTAACAGTTGACAGTTGGAAGGAGGACATGAGCAGACGTAATCAGCATGGGAATCCACTGTGACACAGCATTCCTACTGTTACAATACTATTTTAAATATTTCCTTCTCTTGTTTGTATCCAGCCCTTCTACAAGGCATGCTTGATTCTATGGTGTTCTCAGTTTATTCTTCCAACAATTTTTGCAAACAGCTTTCTCCTTCTCCCAAGTTCCATATCTTTATCTTTTAACCCCCCGTCATGCCCCCCCATGTGTGTTTTTAAGATCTGCACACTTTAACAAGCTGAAATGGACAATGATTACATCATGCAATTTTTGCATGCACCACGCCCAGCTTCTGCCATCGATCTGCGTTTTCACTTTGGAGTTGTTGACAATTGGCCTGAATAACCTGCTGCAGTTAAATTTATCTGTTGTGCGATTCTATCTTTCCTGGGTTTTCTAACGGTCCTTTTAAGATCAACAGGATAGAAGCATTAAGGGATTGCTTGGGTGAATCTGTATGCTATAAATATTGTAAAAGGTTCTCAGTTGAGTTCAAAGGCATGTTCTTTGCCTGTTTTTGTTTCTTTGTTGGCTTAAAGAGCAACTTCAGGCAAAATGTGCTTACTCTGAATTGGTTCATCTGCTCCTCTTAGCAACTAGCGTATATAAAACAGCGCTGTTCTTGCTCCACAATATCCACCCAAGCTGCCAGCTTTGTTTACACAAATAGAGTCTGGAGCACGTTTCCAGCCTGAGAGCTTGCACAGTACGTGTCCTTTGCAGAACATCCTGGGGTGGAGACCGCAGAGGCACGCTGGCTCAAAGTGTTCCTACAGGCTGATCTCTGTAATCTCAGTGGGAGCCAGACCAGCAAGTGGTTTCAGTATATGTTGGCTGAGATTCGAGAGCAGAACATGCCACATAGTTAAAGCATCAGACTCCTTGAATGTTTATTGCAAAGGAGTCCTTTGCCGTGCTGGTAAATGTCTGCACAGAGGCAAAACGCAGCACACCACGCTATTGGGCTCGTGTGCTACATCGCGTTTTGCGTTTTATGTAGCGGCACTTGGCAAAGTGCTTTCAGGGAGAACATCCAAAAGCTGCTTTCTGGATTTTCACCTTGTATTCTTCAGGCACCGCTGGCCCTTCCACTCTGCTTGAGTTAGGGAGTTGAAACGTGCTGTCTCCAAGGGGATGGAGCCGAATGCCCAGGGCAATGGATCTCTCTGCCAGCTGGCTGCAGCCCAGCAGTTTGCAAAGGCAGCAATTTGTCCTCCTCCAGATCAGTAGAGAGGGGTGGGGTGAGGGCTGTTGCAGGCAAATGAAAACAAAAGCAAAACTACTGCAAACAAGACACCCTGAAAGGACTTCAGAGGAACAATGGGAATGTAAAACTCTTCAGCCACACCATCTTCTATCTCCCTGCTTTTTGGTTCACAAGTGGCAGAATGCATTTTCAAATGTAGCCTTTTAAAAGTCAGACTGCGGCCTAGTTATTTAATTTAACTGATATGATGGGCATGAATCTCTCTGTGATTGCAGAGAAATGCAGTTTAACAGGGGCATAATAGCGGAACTGCGCAGGGTTAGCCCAAGACATTATACTGCCTGAAGCAGAACATCAGATCCCTCATAAGTAAACATGCATAGTGCCCAAGGCTGACCAAGTGGAAAATCTCCTGGGCATATCTGCTTGGGAATGAAAAAATAAAACATATAATCTAAAAATTGTCATTCATTGTCCTATGGTAGGTCTGGTCCCGGTAGAAATTAAAGCACAGGGATACTTTTCCAAGGACACAGCCTCTCTCCTGCTAAAGGTGGTGGGGAGAAATCTTGAATAGCTAACAATTAAATATACATAGTGCAGATGTTTGGACAGCAATTCCACCTTCTCACACCTGTAGAACTGCTTCAAACTGTTACATTTTCTTAGTCACCCTGTAGGAATACGTGTGCCTTTGGTGCCAGATAAAAGGTGGCAGAATTCTATCTTGCAGAATAAGAACTGTCTGGCACTTCTTTGTGCCCATAGAAGCAAAT